AGTTGCATTTTATGTGTAAAACGCCTGATAGCGCGGTAATTATATGGCATTTTGATAGTATTTAGTATCATTTTGTATGAAAACTGGAATGTAACAAAGCCTTGTCATAACATTCGTCTATTTATGCCAGAGTAGGCCCATATGTATATCGGGAAATTTATGCAACTTGCTTTAGGGCAAAATGCTTCTCACAACTAGTTAACGAACTTTGCAAAACCGTTATATTTGAATTTGAACTTTAAACTATTTTTTAAAAAGAGCAGAAATCATTTTTTTATCCAAAACGTATAACTTAAAATCTTAAATATGAAATTGTAAATAAATTTGTTAAAATTCTGACTAATTCTAAGTAAGTTACTGAGGACTGTTGTGGTACATTCTAGAAAAAGACAACCCAATATCTTATTCTATCTTTTTATTCAAATTTTCCTAACAGTGATAATATATTCTCAATTCAATGCTGTAATTCCGTCGGCAAAAATCATTTAACTTGGAGACATATTGTGTTACTGTTACACATTTTTAAGTGGTTGCTACTGCTTCATATCAAGTTCTCCGAAACGCTAGTTTGAACCTGGCACTTCGTGATTGTAAAGTCTTAAGGTGGTGCCATATACCCCCTAAAGTATATATAAAAATACGTTTTTTTTATTGAAATTATAAATAAATGTGTATACAAATATTATATTAATAAGAAACCACCACGTGTTACAATATTGTTATCGATAGCTTATTGTTAAGTTGTTTGAAAATAAGCTGACGATATGCTGTTTACTCTTATATGGAAGCTGATAATAATCGTTTGAAATTTTATGACACGCGCGTCTCTCATAATTAATGCCAAATATTCGTCTCGAATCGCCTTCAGGTCGTACGAATTTATTATTCATAAGATGCATTAAATTTTATCACGTACCATATATTTGAGCCGTAGTTAAATACAAGTGTATAGATGTATATGTTCATATCATATAATATATAACATAAGATTTTACTTGGATAAACTGTAATACCTTGTTATCATTTTCAAAAAAAAAAAAAAAAAAAATCATGTATCCCATTCAATTTCATATTCGAAGTATGGGATATCCCTTCTAAAGAACGGGTAATACATTTTTTTAGATTTTACAAAAAGAATTATATGTATAATAATTATATCTTAATTGTATGTGTGTATTTTTTTATTTTAGTCTTTCAATGGTGGAGTAGGAAATACATTAAACAATTAAAAAGAGAGAAAATGTAAAAAAAAAATGTTGTAACAGTTTCTGAAGAAGTAAAAAACATGCTATATTCATAAGACGCCAATAAAATTAAATATTAAAAACTAAATGTAGCTTTTTATTGAAGTAAAACTCTTCACTCTTCAGTTCAAACAAATAAATTCTTGAATATTAGCAATCCAAAAAAATTCTAACTATATTTGCATATAAGGCAAAAGACATTTTAAAAGAAATCATAATTATAGTAGATAATTGGTTATTTATATTTAATATTTATAAGTCATGTGTTAAAGAATAAGAATAAATCGATAAACAAAATATAGAATTTATTTTTCTCAATTCGACCTACATATTATTATCAATCATATATAACATATAGCAAAATTATATTAATATTGTAATATAATATAAACTTTTCAAACAAGTTACTTTTTATTATTATTTATTATTGATTATTGTTTTTATTATTAATACTATTATTTTAATTATTATTTATTCATTTATTTATTCTATTTATTTTCTTTAACTCCATTTATTCTATTTTTTTTTCTTCTTGATTTTGATTTTCAATACCATAACTTTTAACTTATAGATTGTATTGTATCTGATTGTTAAAATTAGCAGAAATAAAAAAAAAATATTAACAATATTATTATAATTTTTCTATATGTTATATATGATTGATAATAATATGTAGGTCGAATTGAGAAAAATAAAAAAATATCAATAATTATATATTTATGCATTTTGATACTAGCTATGTATCATCAATCAGCTCAAAATTGCACAAAATATAGAATGAATACAATATATTCAAATTATTTTAAACTTAAATTTAAAAAAAATATAACTAGCAAAAAAAAACTTTAAAATAAAAAAATGGCATATACTCCAGTCAATGAAGCGTTTTCGGTCTGCATTTTTTTTACTGTGCTCCAATTTTCATAAAATTTTGGGATTAAGTTCATCGTGCCTTTAAGTTCAAAAGTGAAAACAATTTGGACAATTGCAAATAGTTTTCATTTTTGAACTTGAGGGTAAGATTAGCCTATTTCCAATATTTCATGTAAATTGGAGCACAGTAAAAAAAATCATAGGTTACACCCTTTTTTCCTTTTTATTTACTGCACTAAACGTGAAAATGAATAATTTTAATGAATAAATTTTGTTTAATGAATAAATGTTTATTTAATTTTTTCAATTCAACATATTGGCAGTTATATTGTCACAAATATGTTTCAACATTGAAATTGTGGAAGGATAGCTCAGTCAGTAGCATGTCTGACGCTCATGCCAGAGATATTCGGTTTGAGTCCTGGTACTGACATAAAATTGCCATTTGATTTGCTGGATCAAAACTAAGTAAAATTTGAATTATTGTTTTGAGATAGAATAGAATTAGAAATTAGGAGAAGAAGCTAGGTTAGAAGAAAAAACATGAAGTAGTCAGTTATAAAGAAAATTGGATATATGATTGGATAAAAATAGTATAATATATAATAAAGATAGTATAAAACGTAAAAAATTGAAATAATGTCAAAGTATTGCCTATATATATATATATATATATATATATATATATATATATATATATATATACCAGAAGCAAAACAACATAAAACAATTAGCAAACCATATGACTTTGCAATAAAATAAAATGCTTAATAAATCTTCCATTGACATTACTGGGTACGTCTTTGTTTAAACAAGATATACATAAAAGCAGAGATTTTTTCAAGTAAATCCTTGTTCAAATACATTGCAATCCACTCATTATCTGTAATCCATTTTTTCAAGCTCGTGGAAAATGCTTTATCAGAATCATAAAAATAAATTTCAACAATTCCGTATATCGTGCGGTATATTTCCTGAAGTAAAAAATTGTAAACCATAAAATGGTTCTGATTTGACTTGTGGTAAATATGGAAATTTTGATATTTGAGTAAGCTCGTAAGCACGCGACAAAATGCACTGGGAAGTAATAATAGGGAATTATTTTATCATTTGGAATATTTCATAATGTAAAATAATCTTATTATCTTGGCATCAAATTTATATCTTCATAACAGAAACAGACGTGTAAATATAATATTATGTCGTTGTTGAACTTTCCATTGAACGCGATTTTGATTGTTCACATAATTTTAATATATTAGTAAGGATTATAAGAAGATCAAATGAAGCAACAAGTAAGCAATAAAGTCAAAAATACACAACAATAAATAAAAATGGTTCTCAAACCATGACTCTGCCTTCGGGTAAAGCTCCACTAGTAAAATGATACACATGTATGTACACCTATTTACCCAATTCTTCGAAAAAAAAAATTTTTCTCCTACACCATGGAAATCGCTACAAAATTTTTAGACCGTTTTTTTCTGTCTAATTGTTTATATATTTTGCATTTACATAAATTTACCTGCATTAATGTTTGATTTACCTGCTGAGTAAAGACCACGTAAAAACTAGTCACTCATCAAATCGAAATGAAATAACAAAATATATATGTTTTCACATATATGAGTGCAGCACTTTTATATAACTGCCATAACTTTTAAAATATTTCATTAATAAAACACAGAGTTGCTTAAATCGTACCCTCTAATAAATAATGCTATAGTTAATAGCAATAAATTAATAAAAAAAAAATTTGGCAATTATTTAGTTGCCTTATGATTAATAATTATTTGGATATTTTTTAACTGAAATAGGTATTTTTACGTTATTCAAAATCATGCTTTCGAAACGATTAAGACCTAAAGTCGTAACGTACCACCTAATCTTAGTCTAACTTACTTCTTTACGTTTCCTTCAGTCAATAGTTATAAAAGTCAAACATAACTATTAAAATAACTCTTAAAACTAGTGGAGTGCATGACATCGTGCCTTAAGGCAAATTGCTGGAACTTCCCGTACTGTAATTACAAATCTTGGAACCCCAAAAAATTTACACAAAATGTGTACACATTATTAAAACCTCTATAAAATATCTGATTATTTCATGTACATATATATGTCCAATAAACATTTTTGACCGCCAAATGGCATTTTTTTAACTTATTTCTATTGAGAGTTCATAACCGCTGGACCTGCCTTCCTAAAAATTCAATCAGTTTTTCATCTTGTCAATACAAGTAAAATGTTTTTTGAATTATTAAAATCGGACGCTCCGTTCTCTTAAAAACTGAGTTACCGCTTTTGGCACTTTTTGCCGCATATCTACGGAACGGCTAGACCTGTCTTCCCAAAAAACTAATCAGCGTCTCCTTATCAATACGAATCGAATGTTGTTTTTAATTATTCAAATCGGTTGATCGGTGTTCCCGAAATCGGCGACGAAAATTTGTATCCGCACACACGCATACATATATATACACATATACATCCATTTTTCTAAGGGATGCCAAAATGTTCAAAAACCTTTGAAACGTAAAGATATATAAAAAAAATTCATTTTCGATTTTTTGCGATTACCGCTATAACTTACTCTGCGGGAAGTTAATAAATTAATAATTATCCCAAATGGTAACAAAAATACTTACAAATTATTAAATCTCTGTATTTTAGAATTGAGATGAGACAGCCGTTTGGACATCCATTGGTATTTTTAATTTGAGGAAATACTTAGGAAAATTGTATTCATCTAGTACTTCTTAGTAAGTAACTGCCCTTTAATAAATCGGCTCGAATAATGAATTTTGCATGAAGAACTATTATTGTTCTTATAATGTTTGAAATTATTGTCTTAATTATTATGTCTTAATATATGAATTATTACCAGGACAGCGCGTACGCAGTCCCGACTACCAAAAATTGCGCGACCGAGTTATCCACATTAGGGACAATCGCAGGGGTCAATCCGGCCCTGGTGCAATGGCCAGACCTCGCCCTGAGGGAACCGCCTTGTTGATCACGGTAACCCCGACGCCAGGTAAGTATGATTTCGGATCGAAAAAACGTTGACTAACCTTACCTGGACTATATTTTAGGAGAACTGTTTACGGCAAGAAGGGCAAGTAGCCCTCTGTTGACTGGAATGAAACTTTACATACTACTGGTAGAAAGAAAGTATAATGAATACTTCAATTTAATATATATATATATATGCATTGTTTAACTTCCCGTAGGGTAAGTTATTGTAATGGGCCGAAAATCGAAATTGAAAATTTTTACATTTCTCGACGTTTTGAAGGTTTCTGAACATATTGGCATACCTCAGCAAAAATGGATGTGTGTGTGTTTCAAAATTTCTAGTCACGTTTTCGGGCGCACGGATCAACCGATTTGAATTGTTCAAAAAACATTCGGTTTCTATTGATAGGGAGATGAGCTGATTAGTTTTTGGCAAAGGTAGGTCCAGCAGTTACGGAGATAAAGAGCTAAAAGTGCAGAAAATAGAAATCGATTTTTCGAAAGAACGGAACATCCGATTTGAATAATCTAAAAAACATTCAATTAGTAATGATTGAGAGAAGTGTTTATTAGTTTTTGGCAAAGGCAGGCCCAGCCATTTCGAAGATACGGAGCTAAATGTCAGTTTTTGAGAGAACTAAGCGTCCGATTTAAATAATTCAAAGAAATTTCTGCTTGTCTTAACAAAATAATTGACTTTGGAAAAAGAAATTTTTGTTACGACTTTTTTTTCAATTTTTTTTTCAAAAAAAAAAAATTCTTGTATATCAAAAATAATTCAGATTTATTTTTATTTCTGACTATAGTTCTAACATACTTTAAACAAATAATTTCAACTTTGAAATTTGGTTTATATAATTCCTATAAATATTAGACAATGTTACAATATTAATAATAATCTATTTGAAAACATTCAGTATTCCTCGAACATTTCGTTACGGTACGGAAAGTTCCAGCAATTTGCCTTAAGGCACGATGCCATACACCCCCCTAGTTTTAAATTCATATGGATTTTTTATATGTTGGAATTACTTCATTATTTCCAATACTAAATATTATATTTAATCCCAATGTACTATAGTTTATTATATTATGATTGATTGATATGAATGATTGTATTATAATCAATTAGATGGATGTACATTGAATATTATTAGTTTTGCACATAGATAAAAGAAGAGTATGTGGCGTGAATCAGTCAGGGATATTCGGTTCGAGTCCTGGCACTGACATATGATTGACCTTTGGTTCGTTGAATTGAAATTAAGTAAAATTTGAGTTGTAAGAATTAAATATTAAAATAAGTTAGAATTCGATGTTTGAAGGAGATAACAATTGTTTAACTCTTCCACTCGCGAATTGCAAAATCGGCATCCGAGTGAAAAGGGTTAATAATGAACGCTTATAAAGTAATCTACACAGTATACCAACATTATAAACGCGAAATACAGAATCAGAGATATATCCATTGTATCAGAGTGCCCCATAATTATATATAATTATAATAGTTATATATAACTATATGTAAAGCAAGTTCAAATAAATCTATTCTTGAAAACTTTTTTGATAAATTATTAGTAGTTTATTGTCGCAAATTAGCAACTCTAAGCAACTATCCCATAGACATTTATCGATAGGTGCTATAAAATAAATTAATTCACTACGTACACATTATATTATATATATATATATATATATATATATATATATATATATATAGCGAAAGGTTTTTCTTCAGATGGTGAAATAATACGATAAAATTGTTTCTTGGGCATCCATCCAATAATTAAAAAACAGTTTTATTGAAAAATGTCACACTCGTAAAACAAATTCCAAACTAACAAAATGTTCGTTGGAATAAGCTTTTTTATATTAAAATATATCATTTATTTTAATTTTACATTTTTTAAATTTTTCATAACTAGACGTTTCATCAATTTTTTATTTCACATTTATTTATTTTTCGTGCAATTTTTGTTTCTGTGTTGTTTTTCAAAATTTATTTGTATGCACTGAAGATGGGTCAAATCAGAAACCCAAAGCGTATGTTCCCTAATAAAAACATTTTTCAATAAAAATGTTTTTTTTAATTATTGGATGGATGCCCAAGAAACAATTTATTATATATATATATATATATATATATATATATATATATATATATATACACATGTTCAACATAGCATGCATTCACAAGAAAATAGATTTTGACATTTTAATGCCCTTACCTTTACGTCGTCCCATGACAGCAAGTCCATTTGTGAATTTTTCATCTGAACAGCACAAATTTGTAAAAGAAAATACACACACAGTTATTTTAATGAAAATTATTACAGCACTATGTAAACACAAGTAATAAATTTAAAAGTTACATTTAATTATAATTAAAAGTTACAATTTAACAATTTAAAAACCACAAGAATTATTTGTCAATCAAAAACTGTTGCCATGCGATTATAAACAAACAAGCGAATTGTAGTTAAATTTGCAGTCAAACTAAAATGATAAATTTTTCTGACCTAGAAGAAAGTTTTGGATTGCCAATCAAGGGTTGCCAAACTGGGTTTTACATGAGAATTTCACACACTATAAATTTTATATCAAAAATATATTTTTTTTTTAACTAATTGTAAGGATTGTTGGATATTTGTATTAAAGATATTGATTTATTAAAATCTGAAAAAAATCTAATTAAAATATATTTAGAAAATTAGATGTCCTCGCCTATTACAAAATTTAAGTCGTTTTTTTCTATTAAACTAATATTCAATTTCTTTCTGAACTTTGAACCGGTAGGATTTATAACAAGATTTCCAAATAATTTAAAGCAATCGATTGACATAATAAAAGATTTCGGATAAAATTAAAATCCAATTTTCACAATAAATTTTATATAATGATAACATGTACATTAGAGGAAAATAGATATATCAGATATATGTATGTAATGTAATCAGAAGTATATTTAAGTGTGAATTGATAAGAGGCAAATTAAAAATCATGAAATATATATATATATATATATATATAATATATATACATAATATACATATATATATATATATATATATATATAATTTTTATTCATAATGATGGTTAATTCAGAACCATAAAGATAGCATTGTTTGCAAACAACCAGTACTTGCAAAGTTATCATCTTTAGATTTTACCATGAATGTTGATTCCTGTTTGCGAACAAATTAGAAATAATTTGCAGATTAATATATAAACTCAAGTAGAAATATTATGTGATTATATCTTAACAAAAATTATTTTAGATAACACATACGAGACAAAGATTGCTTCATACAATTAGTTCAAATAATATGGTTCCTCAACGATTTTGCTATAAAAATATCATTCGTTTAATTTTTAATCATTAAACTGAAGAAAGGCAGAAAATAAATCAAAAGACTCAAAAATAAATATTAAGGTGGTTTTCACGCATTTTAGTCGATTGATATTGAAATTTGAAAATAAAAATTAGGAAGTGAAACCTAAATAAAAAAAATGAAAATTTTAATCGACATATTTGGCAGAATGAAGCGAAAACTCGAAGTGATAGTTAAAATAATTATGTATCTTAAATGTAAATTATTCTTGAACAAAAACTTAAACAATATCATAATAATACCAATTACAGCTTAATGATCAAAAAATTCATATAAGAATCTTGGAAAACCAGTATATTTATAAAAATTATTATTTTACATCTTTATAGCTATATTTTTATTAAATTTATTTTTATATATGATATTTATAAGGTAAAAATACATAAAAAAATATGCGTTATATGTTATTATATATCAGCTGGTTAAAAAAATAAATTGACTTGAAAATATTAAATATCTGTCTCAAAAGACGTATGTTGTGGACAAATAATTACAAAAAATATATGCACGTGTACTTTGATCTTATTATTTGCAAAAATACATGATAATAAATTCAATAAAAAGTATAAGTTGTAAAAATATAATTCTAAAAATATACAGATTTGTTTCTCCCAATAGTGTTTAAAAACCAATTGAGCCAAAATTTAAAATTGATAGTAATAAGCATTCTAAAAGATAACACTGAACAATTTAAATTTCCTTTCTAATAGAATTTGGCTGAAGTCGGTTCCAATGCAAAGGAGGAGAAACATTTCCTGTTTTCGAAAAACAAACATCAGAAATCTAGCCAGAGTTCTAAAATGCCAAATCGATATTCCCGGGATGAATGTTGATATCAATATACGAATTTATATTATATTTATAATATAATATGTATTTATTATTACAATCTTACTGTTATTTGATATAAAAAATTCAGAAGAAATCAGTTAGATCAGGGCTTCTTAAATTTTTGTCATTCGCAACCCCATTTATGATTGCGAGGTTCTTGACGACCTCACACAAATATAAAAGATAGGGAAATAAATATTTTTAGATGATTTATTTATTATGTAACAATATACATAAAAACATATGTAAATATATAGTTATAGAATTCGTTGTAAAACAAACAAAAATCTGACGTTATGTTATAAAATGATATTATATTAAAATCTCTGGCGACCCATAATTTTTCCTACGACCCATGGTTTAAGAAGCCATG